CCTTATCCTCGAAGAACGTGACCTGGTGCGATACTGTAAGCACAGTTCCGTCACAAATTCGTCGCTTTCAGACTATAAAGCTCATTCATGAATATATACCTACGCTAACGTTTCGTTACTAATTAACCGGTCATGTATATCGCAGCAGGTGAAAATAAGGAATATACTGAAATGAGAAAGTCCTTCTTTGTACTCCTCCGGAGGGGAGAGGGGAATGTATCGCATGGTCCCACGTTGGGGCGGCCCTGGCAGGAGCGATAAGGGGCTCGCCGATCTGATGCAGATATACGCGCGCGGCTCACAGCGAGTATCGGTGGAATAAGGGGGAAAAAGTGGTAGCGCAGCGACAAAGGCGACGGCCAGCAGGTTTATTATTGCAGTTGATTAGACAGGCGGCGCAGTTGGTTAGGCGATTTCGCGGAGAGCAAAACGCGCAGCGTGTACCGAGCAAGGCTGCGCGAGTAGCGCGAAACAAGCAAGATCGGCGTCGGCGCAGAGATGCGTTAGTGTCGCGCGCGTACGATGTCGGGCGATATCGCTCGATTGGAACACGAGCCAGCCGCGTCTGAGCCGCTAGTCGGAGGAGACGCTGTGTTCACCTTACAAGGTAATTCACATCGTGCAGTCTTCTTCTTGTAAAACTAGTTCCAAGTGGCTTCTATTCTGGAATAGTTAGGGATCCCCTCGTTCGCTGTTCTTTGAATTTTCGAATACTCGGTGGTGTCGCGTTGACGGAACGGGACGACGCGGTTAGAAGCTAACCGAAGTGAGCTTCGGTTGGCAACCAGTTCGGTGAGTCTTCCTCGATCGACTCGTTAATTCCTTTAATCGTCTTTCGATTTCATCTCGTCGAATCGCGACCGGAGATCGTCAACCAAAATTTGACCTGGTCTGGTACAGTTCTCGGTGGTCTAAGGTGACTCGAGTTCGCGAATGGAAAAATACCCGATTATAAGACTCCGTATGCATGGATGTATGCGTATTTATCTCTGTATCTCAGGAGTGGTTTGTCTGTAAATCATACAATTTGGTATAGTGGCTTCTGTGCATGGGGTATCCGTCCCATTCCGTTATTGAGAAAATGTCGTGTATGCTGATGAATGTATGTATGACAAGTATATGCCGAGTCCAAGCTTGCTTCGTATCTCAAGAGTGGTTTGTCAGGAAGTCATGAAATTTGATATGTCGACTTCCACACAATGGTTATTGATGCTACTTATATTTAGACTTCCCACTTCCATCGATCGTTTACTCGAGGCTCTTTTGTTACTTCCATTTTTCTTCGTCCGCGATATCGTTTTCACTGCCAAGCCAGTAACATCGTTATCGAAGATATTCTGGAACAACCAGATTTTGTCCTCGCTTATGAATTTTCGAGTGAACGTTCGAACGCGTTCGGCGGGTTCAGGAAACAGGGGGGGGGCAGGTTACGAGATAACGGAATCTTCCTGGAGTATCCGTCTGGATCCGACCGTGGTTCGCGAAGACCGTGGTCCGTATTCTCGGTGACATAATATTTTTGTTATGGCGTTCGAACAAGCATTCGAGCCTTGCTAATTAAATCGTCTTGCTAAGAGAGTAATCGCAACTTCGATAGGGGCGTTTACGGTTTTTCACGAGACTGCAGTTTGCAGTAAAAAATACGATCGACTGTAAACACAGTACGTATAAACAACAACGAGGAGAAACGGTCTGAAAGCGGTGTATCGAACGCGAACGGGCGTCGGTTCGAATAAAACGTGTATGAAAACGTAAGAGACGAAAGGGGTAGAGCAAGTGTTTGCCAAAGCACTCGGGGCAACGGCTTCGAACGCGTTTCCATCGACGAGAACAAAGGAAGCGTGGTAAGAGCGCGTGGCGTCGAACGAACAGGTCACGGCGCCGTGACAAACGCGAATAATACGAAAAACGGTTTCTCGGACGGCACAAAGGGGCGGCGACTTCGTCCTTTAACCAGCGAGCTTAGCTACAGACGTCTGGCGTTGTCCCGACGCGCCAAGACCTCCGAGAATTGTTTTTATTCTCGGAAATAACCCGCCGCGAGCGACCAAGTATGCGAACTGACTTTCACGCCAGTGGCGGAGCTAGGGCCGACGTCTCCCAGAGCTTCTTCTTTTAGAATTAAACTCTTTCGGGAGTATTCGATTGCTTTGTAGTAGCGTTCGCTCAATTCTCACCTAAAAAAACACGTAAATTTTATTCAGAGGAATTTCTCTCAGCTGCGCGCATATTGTTTATCATCTCGGTATTCGATATTTACTTACACCTTTCTTTTCTGTGACGTGTTAGAGTCTTCTGGGTTGTGTAATCCCCTTTGACGATGCCATCCGCATCCCTCTACCGACGCCACTGCGCCAGCCTCTGCAGTTACAGCTCCCTTCTGCATCTAAACCATGATTTTCTTGTTTTCGCAGGCACCAAGCAGACAGCGGAGAGCGTAGCTCAAGATGCCGTCGACCAAACAGGTATTCTTCGTCCCTGGTTCAATATTAGAAGTATTAGCGTTTCTCCGTTTCATTTTTTTTTTTTCTAAATTCGACTGCCGAAACTCCTTCACTTGCTATCGCAACGATCGCACGCGAGACGTCAGAGGGGATCAAATGGCGTCGAGGTCACGTCAAGGTCACTCTGTGTTCTATTCAGCATGTTGCATATTCTGCAAGGTCGAACGGAACGCAACAAGGCGAATTTTCGTTGGAACGTTCGAAAACGAGACGACGAAACTTAACCGGGCTCTCTATCACGAACGTCATCTAAAAGACTATTGTAAACATCGCGTTATCTACTCATGGATTATTCTATCGAGCGATAAAAATAACGGTAATAAATTCCGTAAGACGGTTCTAGAACTCGTACTTTGGTTTAGCTGGTGTCTATTTCGCTCGCAATTTCTTTTTCAGTAGCGTCAATTATCACCGGTGACCTTGAAATACTTTTCGACACGCGATACATTCGATAGAAATAACAAGAAATATTCGTAGACTCGTTCGATCGTCGGTATTTATACAGTAATAGGAGATCGGTTCTAATTCGTTTGGTTTTTCCCTGACAGGATTTGGCAAGTTTAACCTTAAGGTTATGGCCGTCAGCAGTTTGATCTTCATGAACGTGGCGTTCAGCATAACTAGCATTGGATTCATATTGCCATCGGCAGCATGCGACTTTCGGATGACCACGATGGACAAGGGCCGGTTAAGCGCCGCCCCGATGTTAGGTAACTAATTTGCTTCGTCTCAATCGAACCAATCTTGCGATTATACCGACATAAGCATCGCGAATTGCAATCGACTATCGCCAGTATCGCTACTCGAACATTTCTCTTTGAATACGATTGCAATAAACTAATCCACTATAGACTCTACTGACATTGTTACATCGAGCGGGAGTAGCGATAACGAAATTTTTTTAAATTTTGGCTCGCGTTGCGGTCGCAAAATAACGTCGTTCGTTTTGGTCTGGGTTAGGTCTTTGAATACGATTGTAATAAACTAATCCACTATAGACTCTACTGACATTGTTACATCGAGCGGGAGTAGCGATAACGAAATTTTTTTAAATTTTGGCTCGCGTTGCGGTCGCAAAATAACGTCGTTCGTTTTGGTCTGGGTTAGGTCTGGGTTAGGTCTTTGAATACGATTGTAATAAAATAATCCACTATAGACTCTACTGACATTGTTATATCGAGGGGGAGTAGCGATAACGAAATTTTTTTAAATTTTGACTCGCGTTGCGGTCGCAAAATAACGTCGTTCGTTTTGGTCTGAGTTAGGTCTTTGAATACGATTGTAATAAACTAATCCACTATAGACTCTACTGACATTGTTACATCGAGCGGGAGTAGCGATAACGACATTTTTTTAAATTTTGGCTCGCGTTGCGGTCGCAAAATAACGCCGTTTGTTTCGGTCGATTCCACCGCGTCGAGACGCGAGCACGTTCGCCAATTTGTTATTTATAACTACACGCGGACAAAGGTTGTACACAAAGTTGGGCGGATCGAGTCGACGGGAATGTCTCGTTTTCATCGTCGAGTTGTTTCCCAGTGACTCAGCCAGCGCGGGGAGACGTTTTAATATTTAATAATTCGTCGAACGACAACCGTGTCGGGTTACAACTACGAGGAAGCGCTTGGCGTAAAATCTTTCGTTTCTTTCTCTTTGTTCGGCGCGAACGTTGACGTAGCGTTCCCGTGCAATCAGCGAAAGTATAGTCCGCGTTATCGCACGGCTGGAATTCGTCTTTCTCGCGTGCCTTTCCGGCGACACGCGTACACGCCGTTCTATTGATTTAACCCAACCGAGTTGAGAAAATAACGCCGAGTTAAGCCGTAAAATAACAGCTACAACGAGGTTCCGGAATACTACTCGGTCCGTTTCTTTGAGTAAAGAGTTCTTAGAGTAAAGATTAATCCAGGTTCGGTTGCCGCCAATTCTGGAATAGCTTGTACGAATGGCGCGACGAGAAACACGAGGAAACGCATTCGAACGGGCAACACCGTCAACGAGTCGAATGTAAATAATGAAACCGTCGAAGACTCTCATTATACCGGAACGTGACTCGTCTCTCACTTTTATTTTCCAACAGATGTTGGCATTATGCGAAAATGTTCAATGGAAGACGTTAAATATCGAATGAAGTAATCAATTATTCATCCTATAAAAAGCCATATTCTGCATCTGCGTTTTAAAGAACAATTATCAATCCTTCATCATCTAAGAGGAATTACTGAAACGTGCGTTACTCTACCTCGCTTTGGAGTACAACTTCGCATAGCTGTTGCATCATTTATCGACGATTACTATCGGCCGCGAGGAGAATTGAGAAGCATTATGCCGTGAAACATCGAACGTTTCTTCCTTTCGTAAATATCTTATGCGACACTTGTTCCAGCCACGTATACGTTCATTCAGTTTCACGTGCTTCCTTACCAACTTGCTATCCATCGATAGCTAGTATGTAATTTTACAGGAGAAAGTTTACCACTAGTATAAATAAACTATGAACTCTGTTATCTTGCTTGGATCTAGCCAAGACTCGTAGACAACATTTCTATTTATTTATAGAAGATAAATCGTCATCGTATCGTCATCGACCTCCATAGTTGCAGGAACATAGCGCCGGAACCTCTTGCAATTAGCGAGGTACAGTCGTCGCTAGCGCGACACATATCCGCGACCTGCGTTCGAGGGCTTTCGCTTCCAATTTCGCTCGTTTCTAAGCGACCACGGCTTTCCATCAATTCACAGGTTGCAACGAACGGAACGATCGTCGATGCATGTATCGAGGTTCTACCCTATCTCCATAATTACGTGCTTTGTAGGTATGCTGGCTGGTTCCTACATATGGGGGTGCTACGCAGCGATAAAAGGACGAAGGCTATCGCTGTTGGTCGCTTTGTTTCTCCATGGAATCTCCGAGTTATTGGCGTCAGTGGTGCCTCTCTATTGGGTCTTCCTGTTCTTAAAATTTCTGAGTGGTGCAGCGTTAGTACGACACGTGTCATTCTGCTCGGGTCATGAGTTCTATCGACAAACGGTGACGATGTGTTAATATTTTCAGCATGAACGGCCAATCGGCGGTCGTCTTTCTGTACCTGGGTGAGTTCCAACCGACCAAGTACCGCAACAAGATGCTCTCGTGGATGGAGATGGCCTGGGTACTAGGGATGATCATTCTGGCAGGTGAATACTAAAGATAAAAGAACGATTGGTTATCGAACAAATTCGTATCGGAACATCTGAACATTTTCAGGAGTCGGTTGGATCATCATACCGTTGGAGGTGAACATTCCAATCGGAGGTGTGGTCTTTCATTCGTGGCATCTTTTCGTCTTCATATGCTCCCTGCCAGCTCTACTCACAGGCACGTGGCTGCTGTTCTTCCCTGAGACGCCCAAGTACCTCGCCGAGACGGGACAGAACGTCCAAATGTTGGACGTGCTGATGAGAATGTATTCGGAGAACAGCGGAGAACCTCCGAAGGAATATATAGTAAGCGATTCTATACATTCCGTTAGATGTTCATGTTTGAGAGTATGAAGTTTACAAGGCGGTACGTAGTCGTTCAGATCGCGACGTAGGCGGCGTCACCGTGACGATCTAAACTAAAATGCCACTGACTTTCCAGACGAAACTCCGAAATTGCGGAAACAACAACCTTAACGACCTGGTGCATCGAATAATGCACACGAGGGATCAGGACGACGTCGAGGAACAGTCGTTCCAGCTAATGATAAACGATATATGGACGAAAACCGTAATGATACTGAAACCACCGTTTTTATGTAGGACGATAGTCGTGTGCTTGATCGCGTGTTTCGTTACGTCGGCCTATTACACGTTGACTCTGTGGCTACCAGAGCTGTTTCACAGATACGCAGACTTCCAGGAGCAGTTTCCCAATGAGACAGCCAGCGTGTGCACCTTGAAGAACGTGAAGAATAACGCGACGGTGGTATGCATTGAATATTCGATGGTATAGTTCACAGCTTCGTTTGTACCTGATTTTATTAATCGATGCAGATGATGTCGGATGATCCGTTCAACTGCGAATCCAGAGTACAAATTAGCGTGTTCGTCCATACGTTCATCTTGGGAGCCTCTTGCATCCCAACGGGTCTCATATTGCCGCTCCTGGTTAATTATGTAGGATACAAATTCTTCCTCGGTAAGTGGTGACCTTGCTACGCGATTAAAGTCAACCCTTTGCACTTCAAGCTTTCTTTTCTCGTACCTGCCAGCCACTCGAGATGTTTAGCATTCTATTGCCATGAATTCTAAGCTATCTAGATTCGAGAATAAGGTTCGAGCACCATAGAAATTAAGCCTAAAGAAAGAAACGTTAGGTATTGTAGATTTGCTGGAACCTAATCACGCCTCTCAAGTCACCTCTCGAGTGCAAAGGGTTAATATTTATTAATAATTATCCTTAATTCTTCTGTTTCACAGTGATAACAGCTTTCGTGCCCGCTGTCGTGACGTCCTGCCTCTTCCTGGTGAAGACGTCCACTCAAAACTTGATACTCTCTTGCATCTACGAATCGGTTACCTCCGTCTGCCTCAGCATCGTATACTGCCTCTTAGTTGATCTCTATCCGACGCACTTAAGGTACTTCGCAACAGATACAAAACGCAAACATTGTACATAAGGACAGCGTACACGAAGAGGTTACTTCGAAGAATGCGATCGGCTGGATTATCTCCTGACCCTACGCAAAGCGTCGTCTTATCTAGAAGACTGTTTCACGTAATTTGGCACTTTTGTCGGCCGATAAATGGAATTGACGGAATCGGGGGATCGAGTCTGTGTATAACCGGAGGGCGATTAGGGATCAAATATTTTTTTCGAACGGTTTAGGTATAGTATTCCGCGTATCTCGAAAGATAAGAACGTTTAAGTAAATGATTCCTGATAAAAGAAACTTGTTATGTCGGTCTGGTATCGTCGATTGGAATGCACGCGTGTCAAAGTTAACTATCGGCATTGGCACTCGGCAGTTTTTTCCACGACGTATCGATGGATGCTTATCAGCGATATAAATATCCACCTGTAATATTTATTTCAATCCGGATATTTATAACTGCGCGATCGAATCATGGCGATTATCTACATCGACGAAATGTCGTAGCAATCACCTTTGAATATTCTCGAGTGTACCACCGTATGCTGTCTAAGACAAAGTATCTCTATCGTTGTGGAGACGTTGTTATCGAGAGACTGTATGTCCCTATAGTGTCATTGAAATATTCATATTGCGATATCGTATGTAATACGGAATCAGAGCAAAACACAGCTTCTGTACAGTTAGGCACTTATTTTCATTACTTCTTTTTCAGAGCAATGGCGGCTGGTTTGTCGGCTTTCATCAGTCGAATAGGTGCTATAAGCGGTACCCTGATGATCGGGTATCTGATCGATGATTACTGCACGTTAGTGATCATCATAGTGGCTGCTCAACTCTTCCGTACGTATCGAAACGTCTTGTTGATATCGAATAATCTTGTTAAGGTTGAATAACATTAGTTCTGAATATACACAGTTATACGACGTCAAGTTTTCATTGTGTGTTCCAGTGAGCGGGATACTGGCACTGTTCACGCCAGGTGGAAAGAAATCGAACCCAGTCGCCGAGAAATCTTAACGAACGTGACACTATTCGCGTGGCCTTTAAAGAAATAAAAGAAAGTAGAAATCTTCTGTATTCGTAATACCGTATTATAAACGTCTAAGGTCATATTTTAACACGATGTAAATGCATTTCATGTAGAAACGAGACGATAAGGTGCCTTATATACACGAATCGTTCGCACTGCTCGAAACAATTAACGCGAGACGTTCAGCACGCTGCTTAAGGGACTCGTTCGCTCGAAGCATTACTTAAGCTGTACTTAAACGCGCGATGACCTCTTCAAATTTCATTCGAACTACCTAAGAGACACAGTCCTCCGATTATTTCGAGCAGCGTGCACACTCCGCGCAATCAAAATATAGGAAAATATGCGTTCGAACGCGATTGATATCGTACGCAATGTATATTCGTTCACGTTGCTGATGAACGATTTAGTGTAATGCTGATATAAAGGCTTAGAAAATGTACTTTAAGAGAACGAGGGTAATTAACCGAATCTTTTACGGAGGGAGCTTCTACTGTCGTACGAAAGCGCTCCTGCATAGGTTAATTAGAACTAATACTTGCTTATTTCGCGTGACGTACAGAATTTTCGGAAATACCCAGCGAGAGAATAGAGGGAATCGAGGCCGTCATTTCTCGTCGCGTAAAGAGAGATACACTTTAACATGTTAATATAGACTACAATAAAATTCGTATCGTAAATTTACATTTACATTCCTTACAAGGAATAATTCGGGTGCTATAATTAATTTTGAACTCGATCATGGGTGACTTTCCTTTCGTTGTACGGCTAAAGAACACCAAGCAATAGATTAACGTACTTAATCGCGTTAAGAAGAACCAAACAAGAAGAAAATGCTCAATTAAACGACTATGGCAACGATCTCCTATTGTAAAGGCAAGCGGTACGATACTCGACTTAGATGCAATTGTATGATAACAAAGAGTTCTGATTGTACCGATAGACGAACCGCAAATTGGGACGTCGATCGCATTTCCAGCTCGTGTTTTATCTTATACTCTATTTTTCTGCGTGCGAGACTTTTTATATTGTAAACTGTTTATATGCCGGCCATTTAAGCTCAATAAAAAAAGTATTCGTATCGAATCGATCACTTGCCACCTCCTAGAACTAAATTATAGACTAATCGCCTAAATTATAAACGTTCGGTAGAAGCTATACGAAGGCATTGGGGGAGACCGTGTGTGTGTGTGTAATTTCATTGCCCCTAGCGACAGGCAACCGCGACAACAACGTTGAAGGGGAACTCTCCTTCGTGGCGATGGGCTGCGTGCTGGGGTTTCAAACTTTTAATCCAACTTTAATTATCCTTAATCGACCACACCTGAGTACGTAATATCGCTATATAACTACGTAATATCAATGCCATGGGTAGTTTTCCCGACTCGAGGACCCAGTCGCGTGTCCATGTCCACGCGCGGCAACCACCCCACCCTGCGAAACGCGAGCGACCACGCGCTACAGATATTGTTCGAAGCCGAACGAATCGCGGCGGACCTCAGACATGGCTCGAGACGATGTGTGCAGTGCATCGCGTAAGCGCGACAAGACTGTCGACCGAATTAGAGGAACGGTGGACAGCCAGCTGTCGTTCGCGCGCCATATATACAAACGTGTCGCGTCGAGTTTGGCCGTTGACTACGCGATTAAATATTTCTTAGCCGCGGCTTGCATTCTAATTAAGCTGGCGTAACCGCGTTCGTTCTCTTATCACTACCCCTGTCACCCGCGTGAAATCCCCGAGAGCTGGCGGAAGGGGTCGCTCGACACGCGGGGTGGATGTCACGCGTCCTCGGAATGCGTATAGCGCGAACAGAAGCACCTTATGAATGATCGGATCGACGGGGAAGGGATATCAGTCGGGAAGACACGAAGCTAACATCGAGAGGTCTTGTGATCGGGATAGCGTTCTCGGGGACCCGTCGCGCTTCGCTTGGCCGTTGATATCGGTAAGAGAACCTGTGACCCGGGGATTTCTTTTCGATTTGGTTCGTTTAATCGGCCGCCTTTCTTTTTATATTCCCTTGTCCCACTGTGTCTCTCGCGCTCTAGCGCCGTTGACATTGAAACCCGCCGAAATAGAGCGATCTTGGAGTGCAGCCATTTCGTGGAAGCACGTCGTTAGCGGTTGTCCGTCGCCGGAAAGGTTCAGTTAGCTCCTAGCGCGGACCATGACGCGCACCTCTGTTCGCGATCGTCGAGGGCCACCCTTCGTCGACGAATCCGCGCGATTCGATCGATTTCTACGGATTTCCGCGACTAAGCAGCGCTGCAACCGATCGCGAGAGACCGAGTCGCCATCGATGACGGAAATATTACGACGATCGGAGATTTGGCGCGAATCCATCGTCTCTGTCGATCGCGTGCCAACATTAAAGAACGCGCGCGCGATTCGCTAGAACTTGAGGAATATTACGGGCTGTTCGCCCGGTCGATTGCAAATTAATCGTCATTAATAGTCGCTTCATCTTTAAAAGTTGAGTGCGTTGCGATACCTAGGCTTGGCACAGTGCAAACGCTTCGCTTAAAGCGCGATCGGTTGGTAGGTCTCTCTCGATTATTCCTTTGGCAAACTTCTTCTCTTTTAGTCTTCTACGATTAATACTTTTCTCTTCTTTTTGGCTATAGTTGCTTCCTTTGTTGCTTCAGAACTCGTCTAACTAGACAATCGTTGCGCTTTATTACGCGACTATCGCTCCGTAATTAATCATCGTTCGAGTCTGACGCGGCGCGATTCACAAAAATCTGATAATCCGTATCTGACTCTCGACGTTAATCCCTCGAATAGCTTCCGTGAGTATTTCCAGAGACCATTTTCCTTGAGACTCGTGAGCCTCGTGTGAAAATGACGCGGAGTGCGTGCACCTGCGTCTGTTCTGATAAAGCACCGTCGTCCAAACCGTCGTCCTGATTACGCAACGATCTTGGCTGGTCTCCACGACAAATGTTCGATTACCTTTGGGCGGATATCAATCGTCTCATTTACGTTTAACATTTTTCTAAATACACAAGAAGGATTATTGAAATGACCTAATATGTCAGGCTGATCCTTGCATGGCTGAGTTTTCTTCTTTAGAGTTTTCTTCTTTGATGTAATAGAGTCTCTTGATTCCAAAGATATCAATCGTCTCATTTACGTTTAACATTTGTCTAAATACACAAGAAGGATGGTTGAAATGACCTAATATGTCAGGCTGATCCTTGTATGGCTGAGTTTTCTTCTTTGATGTAATAGAGTCTCTTGATTCCAAAGATATCAATCGTCTCATTTACGTTTAACATTTGTCTAAATACACAAGAAGGATGATTGAAATGACCTAATATGTTAGGCTGATCCTTGCATGGCTGAGTTTTCTTCTTTAGAGTTTTCTTCTTTAGAGTTTTCATCTTTAGAGTTTTCTTCTTTAGAGTTTTCTTCTTTGATGTAATAGAGTCTCTTGACTCCAAGGATATCAATCGTCTCATTTACGTTTAACATTTGTCTAAATACACAAGAAGAATGATTGAAATGACCTAATATGTTTCGCTGATCCTTGCATGGCTGAATTTTCTTCTTTGATGCAGTAGGGTCTCTCTTGATTCCAAGTACATTCCTCTTCCAGTTTCGTCGTGACGGGACCAATAGTGGCAGGATAATGCTAACGCCATCCTGAAACAACCAGTTGATCTCCGTTAATCTAAGGTTCGAGATACGTTTAGGAAATAGTATCGGAGGAGTCCTCGTGTACTCGGTGATTCAAAAAGCAAACAGGTGCAAGTAATCTAAGGTTCAGAGCGCGTCTGGAGAATGAGATCATCGGCTGCGAAACAAATGCCCTCGTTCAGACTTCATCCCCGAAGCTTTGCGACGCGTTGGCCCAATTTATGGAGGTGGATAAAGTTACCTCGACGAGTGATCCCGTAATTGTTTTGACCAGCGGGCACGGGCGGGCGACCTTCGTCGAAAAATATGATTAATCAATTGGATATCGCGCGGGCTGATCTTACACTTACGGCACGGGAGATGGTTCGGATCCGATAACGGAACAAATAAATCTCCCGTTTGGGAATTTTACCCGTTCTTACGATTAATCCCGGCGCGGTGATGTAACAATACCGGACGCGATCGAAGGAAAACAATGGTCAGCATTCGTGGGAGCGACACCAAAGTATTCGTTTCTGCTGGGCGGGCACCAAGACTTGCGATTTGCGGATTGGACATTCCGCGCGTGACTCGCCAGTACTTCGACTTCATTCGACGCAATAAAGTCGCGCGTTTAATCGATTACGATTTATGGTTCCGTCTTGTAATAAGCTCCAGGCGTTGCTTCCAGTGTTCGGTACGTGATCGCGGTGATTAGCTGCCAATAAACCGTAAGTCTCGTGACACTGACTTTACGTTCTTCCTCGCGCTTCAAGGGTGCACTCTGGTATTTTCAGGATCGTCGTTTTCTTCGTTATTCTTTCTTCTGTAACAAATTAGTTGAAACGGAATGAGAATTCATATACGCGTGCTCGCGTATATCGCTCTTTTTACTTTTAAGTCAGCAAATAGTAATTGGTAATTGTTTCGGTCACTCGTTTCTTTGGATAATTATTTTTCTATGGTACACTACGGTGACTTTTGAAACGTCAATTTTTGTACACGATTTTCTTGCAACAAGGTTGCCTCGAGTTTGCGAAACGGATATCTCCGGCAGTAATTAAGATATTAACTTGAAATTTAATCAGCTTACGAAGCAAACAGGTTTTTACTGCTTGTATTAGGCTTTACAGCAAATATGAAATACTTCTGTTAAAAAACGGATTACTAGTTATCATTTCTCTAAAATGGACAAATAATTGGATCTAAATTCATCCCGTTAAGTGCGCGTGATTCGCAGATCTAACGCGAACCCAATTCCGAGCTAATCTGAGAGACAAAAATCGTAGAGATTATCAATTAATTTATCTATCGTGCCAGGTACTATCGAATCGAAGTTCTGCAAATTAAAAAAAAAAAAAAAGTGGCTCCATTTTACGAGGAAAATCACTTTGGATCTGGAATTTTAAGAAAATAGAAGAGAAAAATCGGTTTATGTAATTCGAAATTGCCAAAGTGCCGCGTTAATTCGATGGCGCAATTAAGAGACAATTCCTGTTAATTGTTACAAGCAGTAATAACATTTCTAGGAACGAGGCTAATAAACCGTACATATTCTAGAGAAACGTGTTAACCAAGGGAGACTTTGTGTCAATATAGTAATTAGCTCTAAATCAATATTAAATGAGTCATCTGTTCAACCTGAGTGACGCGGCTAATTCTGAAATTGAAATTCACCCAAAACACATTGCCGAAAAATAGTCTGCCGACGACCATAAAATGGCCATAATTAAGAATAACACCGAGCTCAGTCTCGTTAGATTCGGATCTAAGTCGCGTGAAGATTACGCGTATCCCAGATTAGAAGTTACACTTAATTCGAAAGCTCTTAAATTAGGATCAATACTTCGATTAAATTCAGATAAATTGAGACTCTGCTAAGTCCGGTTTAACAACGTCTTAGAATCGAGACTTGGGCTAGGTTAAGATCGTCCCGAGCTCGAATTACTGCTTCAATAAGTAAATCTCGAACGGCACAGGGTCAGGTGAACCTCGAGTACACGCTGTATTTAGGTCATGTTAACAGCAAACGTTTCCCGAGACCTTCCCAACTATCAGTACCGAACACTATCGTGCAGAACAATCTCGTCGGGGAAAACCTCAAAGTTTACGTCGATACGTATCACTCAGGTTGATAAATATGTTTGCGTTGACGAATGAATCAAGCGAGAAGCACGATGTCGAGTCTAGACTAGTTTCGACTAGTATAGATTAACGGTGACCCTGGCAATTTACCATGGCACTTCGGGAGACACAGTTCTGTGTCATCGAGACAGACGACTCCGGTCGGTTTCCGCAAAATTTCATCGACACTTGCTCGGTTACGCGCTGTATCGGTATCGTCATCGAAAGGTCGTCGCAATTAGAGGAACGCGGCGGCACGTGTGAACGAAACGCGTCCTCTTAACGCCGCGGATATTGCGAAATAGATTCCTCGACGATACAAGGCCGTAAATAAGAATTATAAGAGAGATAGGAATGCAGATAGTAGCATCGCCAATCGATACTTATATTTGGATAGAGACGACGTTTAGCCCGCGTATGGCACCCGTTGAAGCGAACCGGAAGCGATAGTGCAGAAGGTAGCGTCAACGTCCAACTTTGGATGCGATTGGTACCGTAAGTTTCGCGCGTAGTGCTCGAGAAGGGCGATACAAAAGTTGCAGGAGAGACGAGGACAGGGCGATTAGGCTAGCATGATTCTTGTCAAGGATATCGAAGCAAGGAAGCAATATTTTCTAATAATTCTGGTTTCAAAATATTCCTTATACCCTGGCGCATGCGAGGCCCGATTTTCGAAAACGTGTTTGTAAACAAATTCATTCTATAAGAAAGAAAAAAACCATACTTTTATTATTTATAAAGTTTCAAGACCGAAATTGCAAAATCGAGCGTCAGAGTGGCATGCGGAGTGATGTAAAGAATATTTTAGAAAAAGAATCGCGAGAAAATATTGCTTCTTTGCTTCGATATCCTTGACAAGAATCATGCTAGCCCAATCGCCCTGTCCTCGTCTCTCCTGCAACTTTTGTATCGCCCTCTCTGTCCTTGTCCCGGAGTTTCCTACTTTTTCCGCGACTGTCGCTCAAGTCAACTCGGAGTTTGGCTCTGGGTCCTGCGTACCCTTTTCTCGAGTCCCAGGACCAGTGCTGTTCTTTCCTCATCCAATCCTTCGAGTTCTCAAGTCTCAGGGCCTACGACCACCCACATCCCTGTGTCCCTAATAATTCTTCCGCCGCTGTCATCCCTCCTCAAGCGCTTCTCTAATCTCCATTAGCGTCGAGAAACTCCTCCTCTTGCATTAGTCCTTGCTGCTCATCCAGCCTTGGATGCAAGGGCGAAAAGCGTCGGAAAGTCCACAGAAACGACTTCGTGATATACCACTCCGACGGTTCGCGCAGCTACCAGCAGATTCGTGTTTAGATAATGCGAGGACTGCAAAGACAATAGCGAGTCGATGTTTTCGCGGTCGTAAATCACGTGCGGCGGAGGTGACGGTTAGTTGTCGCGCGTTCTTCCACGAAATCTCCAGCAACTGTCGCACGTATTTGTCCTACCTTGCGACAATATTTAACCAGAACGGTCGAAATCGTTGCTTTCTTAGTAGGTCGACAAATAAGGGATCACCGTGGCCGGTTGACAGACAGATAAAGTGTTTGGTATCTTCCGAAGGTGTCCCCGTACATAATAAACGCACGGGTAAACAGCTTTCGCGTATTTTAATCAAAGTAATCCAAAGCAATTAGGTATCCCGTGATACGTGTCTCAAACCGTCTTATCTTATACATACGATTGCATCGTGGCAATTGCAAAATTCTTGTGTGTACAGAAGCGTTTCTTTTTTTTTTTCTTTCTTTTTAGTAAATGCCGTTTTCAGGAAACGCTCGTTGGGGGCAGAGGGAGAGACCACGGGCGGTTAGGCAGACGGGGGCTGAAAGACAGACGTCGGATAGGCGCGCAAGCCGCGAGAAAGAGGGGAAGGGTTATATCTTATCTAGCCGGTAATTACGAGCTACCGAAAACCTCTAGATATGCACAGGCACGGTTAATTGCTGGTCAGTTTGCTCGTTCGCCGTCGATCGTTCAGATCTGGCAGGACGCTGAAGAAGTCACGGTAAATATCGCGTCGTTGCAGATACCACGGCGACCGTCGATCGTCCTGTTACTCTCGTGGCGACCAATAGACGAGAGGAACCCCGTCCGTCGAGGACCATCGAGGAGACGCTCGACTAGCGAATCGTCGCACTGCCCGCAGAGATTCTCGGTGGAACTCATCGTCGAATTCGCTTGGGCGACAAAGACGGCGATCGAATACCACCGAGTGTTCACCAATGAGCGTAGCGTGCAGTGGTTGCAAACGAGGAGAAAACCGCGGAACGCGCACAAGGAATCGACAGTGCAGCGCTTTGGCGACCGGGGTCCTCCAGACGCCCGGGTTCTATCCGACGCCACCTGACCCGTCCACCTCCCATCACCGCGAGACAGACGATCTTCGCAACGTAACCAATCACTATGGGTAGGTTCGAGAAAACCTGAAACAAAACACCTATTTAGAACTATTTTTACGATTGTTCAGTTACAAGCTACCACTGATTTAATTACCCACCTGCTTCTTTCAAAGATAAGATAGCTTGTATGGTAAGTGCGCGTTGACTGTTGATCAGCTCTAGTGTTAGCTCTGTTCCAAACTGTATTACTACGGCGATTAGTGGTGATGAAATTGCTGATAATACTGCTACCAGTGTTCACTCGTAATAGGACTCCGCCACGGAGCCCCCTACTGTGACTATTGGTTCTGCACTTGTTGCTACTGATATTAATAGTGAGCTCCTGTAACGTCTCGAGTCCCCGGTGCTGTCCTTTCCTCGTCCAATCCTTCGAAGGATTCCAAGTTCTAAGATCTCAGAGCCTGCAACAACACCCACATCCATATTACCGTTCTTATCGTACTTTTGCTCCGCGAGCTACCCTCGATTCGCATCTCCAAACCTTTGTTTCCCTTGTTTCCTCCCCCTTGCGGAACCAACAAGAGTCGAACGATCCGTGAGCAATTTTTTCTTTTTGCGACAGGACTCGACTTCCTGGCAGACGGAGGTGCCGACTTCGAGCATGCAATCACCGTAACAGGTAAGTCGTAGATTACACGCATTAATTGAGCGTCGATTAAATTCGGCGTACAAGTCATTCAGTTATCGGGACACATCGGAGAGGCTTTATCTAAACTACATTTGTAAATCTGCGAGCCGATCGAAAAACAAACGAATGCCTCTCAACGGCTGCCTCTTGTCCAATATTTGAAAATTATCGTCGCTTGTTTTACCACGATTCGTACGTATCTCGATTAAATTGGTCAATTAACTGATATACTTAGTTCAGACCTGCGCTATCTGTTGGCACGGTGGCTGGAGTTTACGCGATACGGATCCTATTTATTCTAAGAATATTTAATCGTGTGGAGTGTCCGCGATACAACACGATCGATTGTTAGATCTACATCCTCGATGATGTCTGAAAAGTTTCTCGAATAGTCGCAGATACTCGTCGCGCGTTGCTCGAGTCGAGCAGGTATCCCGGCAAATCAAGATAACGTCGCGAAATAAGAATCGCGTTAAGCATTGAGTAAATCGGTGGCAAGTTCAAGAGCAGATTTTAATTTACAGTTCCGCGCAAAGTGTTGTTGTCGAGGACGTTGTTAAACACGAGGACGCTGTTTCTCTCGTGTCTCGACGGATGGTGCTTTTCGCGAACGACGCTCACGCGAATCGATTTTCTTTCAGGATTCGGAAAGTTTCATTACATGCTGCTGGCGGTATGCGGCTTGATCTACATGGACACCGCGATCGGGGTTACGATACTCTCGTTCGTCTTACCGGCCGCGCAATGCGACTTGGAGATGGATTCCACGTCGAAGGGGTGGCTGACGGCGTCCCCCATGTTGGGTGAGTCTTCATAAGTTCGTTTCTTCTGCATAGTCAGGCCTTTCCATCTTCTTGAAGATTCGCGTATCAGAAGCGTCAATCCGTGAAAAAGCAAATACTCGCAGTCGGATCTTCAATCATTCGAGTCACCGTGACTCACGTTTTACCTTCCCAGGTAAACCTTTATCAGTCACAGACGTGCGACGAAAACAAATCGGTTGATTGAGACATATCGTGTCGTTTCGAAATCGTTGATATCACGTTTCCAAACAAAATCATAGGAAATCAAAGAAAGAGTTATCTATTTCTATTGGTTGTTTTTTACTCGAATTCCCAGGTATGGTGATTGGTTCCTATATATGGGGGTGCCTGGCTGACACCAAGGGGCGTAAAATCGTATTAATCGCCACGTTACTGATGGACGGTGTCGTAGGCATCGTCTCGTCCTTCGTCCAATACTTTTGGGTCTTTCTGGTCTTCCGTTTCTTCAACGGATTCGCGTAAGTGTTTACCATTCGAACCCGGGTCGTCCGTTTCTCACGATCGTATTCTTTTCGCCTCGTTCTACCGTCATTTTATTTCTTTTTATTTTTAGTTTATTTCTATTTCTATTTTTATTTTATATATACAGCGTTACGGGAGCTATGGGAATTTGTTTTCCATATTTAGGGGAATTCCAGCCGACAAAGTATCGCGAAAGATGTCTTTGTTGGATGGAAATGTTCTGGACGGTCGGAGTTATAGTATTGCCATGTAAGTACCTCTTCAACTTGACTATTTCTTCTTCGTCTCGAGTCAAAGTATCAAAATTCTCGATACGATGTAATTACCATATAGATCGATCGTTGATTTCAAATATATCATTTCACATCTTCGAGTGTGTCATAATGCGCCTACAGCAGGTCTAACGCTTCGTGCGATCGCTCAACCGCAGCATTGAAGTCACCGAAGCGCTAGCGATACCGCCGCGGTGTATAATGTAACGAAACTCGAAAATTAACAAATGATTCTTCTCCTTTATCCAGTGATCGCTTGGCTGATCATTCCGATGGACTTCATGTACGTCTCGGACACATTTTATTTTAAGTCGTGGAATCTCTTCGTGGCGCTGTGCGCGCTGCCCTCGTTAATGTTAGGCCTCTGGCTGTTCGCGTTCCCAGAGAGTCCGAAGTTCCTCCTCGAGTGCGGCGAGACGGACGCTGCTCTTGAAGTATTCAAATGGATCTACGCCCAGAACACTGGGGAGAATCCAGAATCCTATCCGGTAATTTTCTGAAACACGGTCGCTTTATTTAACTTCTCCATTTGTGACAAATAAAAGAACTTTGATGATTGCTTATATCTAAATTGGTATACATACTCGACTCCCAGGTGAAATCCTTGCAAGAAAAGACGAAAGACAAGAGCATGAGGTCGCTGAAGCTGCACAAACGCAAGGATTTAAAGGTTCTAGTGAAAGAGGTGCGGGACCTGACGGCAGCTCTCTGCAAATCACCGCATCTTCGCAACACGTTACTTGCGTGCGCCATCCAGTTTGGCCTGACCAGCAGTTACTATACTCTGATGGTCTGGTTTCCGGAATTATTCACCAGGTAATCATTAAAACCATTTGTTAGAAAAATACAAGCGTCTTTTCCCTTCAACGGTTCTGGGGTAAGTGCCGTGCTGTTCCTCACAGTCCTCTTACCAAAAGGCAACCCCTTTCCCACTCCGTGGCCAGATCCTTTAGGACAACGTCTTTGTACTTTTAGGCAATGCAACGTCGGGTTGCTTGCCAATCGACACATCTCTTAGATATAAACAAACAGACCTTCGTCACTCGATACTTAGTGCCGAGGCATCCGTTCGGTCGTCCTGATCCTGCTACAAAACCGTCGCAGTCCAAAATACGACAAACTATTTACCGTAAAAGGTTCCTAAGGACGTTGACGCTAACAGATTATATGAGTTCATCCTTCTCCGTGGACTCTGTCCAAGAAACTCTTATCCCGGGTCCACACTACGGCGAACACGAACAAGAACATAGCCTAAAAACATTCGCAAGGGTGTTCTTACTGTCGCTAACATGCCGGCGAACATCTACGATGTTCGTACTCCTGTGAAACTGATGTTATTTCGTGGATTCGGGCGATCCGCATCCCCTCCATGGTTGGAAATGCTCGAAAGCAAACGACCGTTTACGACCACCCGCCGGCAGATACTTCAAAGGGATAATATGCGTGACCGTAGTTAATATTAGTTCCTTAATATTCATCCAAGTTTTTATGCTTTTTTTGTTGTATCTTGATGGAAATATATGCAATATATTGGCGAGATTTTTCTGATAAAAATGGTATCAAACACGACGCAATTCAAACAATTTTGAATTTCGCTTATGATAAGTAATAGATTTTGTTACAGCCTATATGCAGGGTGTCCCAAAAGTCGGGGAGGAGCCGGAAATGGGGGATAGCTGAGACGATTCTGAACAACAGTTTCCTTTGCAAAAATGTCGGATTGGGCTTCGTTAAGGAGATATTAAGCGAAAACCCCGACCAATCAGAGCGCGCGTAGACCGTTCGAGCGGCCGCGGTAGCGAAGGCTACGCGCTAGGCGGCAGCGTCAATGTCCTTCGATGTACGTCGAGTCACTTGTTCGCGTACAAGCGCGGCCGCCAGCGCGTAGCCTTCGCTACCGCGGCGGCTCGAACGGTCTACGCGCGCTCTGATTGGTCGAGGTTTTCGGTTAATATCTCCTTAACGAAGCCCCATCCGACATTTTTGCAAAGGAAATTGTTGTTCAGAATCGTCTCAGCTACCCCCCATTTCCGGCTCCTCCCCGACTTTTGGGACACCCTGTATATTACACATACTATTCTTCAAGAAATATTCGTTGACCTTTTTTTTTAAGACAGTATGCTTGCCTATTAATATTTTTTAAGATACCATTTTACATCCCTTGTCAGCTTCACGTCTTAAAAAAGTTAGCTACGTGAACCTGATTCCCGACTTTTCAAAAATTCATTTGTTTATGGAAAATACTAGCATTTCGTTTGTACTTGATTGAACCATCAATAGTTTCGTTTGTACCTTCGTCAATTAATAAATAAAAAAAAAATCACCCAGCGTCCGACATTGAGATTTTTGTAATCTGTTTTTGTCACTTCGTTTGTACTTCGCTAGTTTACATTTTACAGCCAATTGTCGTACGCGTAAGAAAGGAGTAAATTAATTTTCAAAATTTTTTTAATCTCTTCTTCCTCTGTGCCTGTAACTTTAATTTTGAAAACAATGCGGTCTCATTCCCTTACGTTTCCACTTCGAAATGAGTTCTTTAGAAATGCGCAGAATTGATGACTGACGAACTCTTCCCTTACGCGTATAAACAATTGCTTATAAATCATAAACTATCGAGGTATAAACGAAGCGAAAAGCGATACAAACGGGTACAAACGATTCTAAAGAATAGGGAAAAAACAGATTTCAAAAGTCTCGATGTCGGGTGCTGGTCATTTCTTTTATTTTTTTTTTATTTATTAATTGATGAAGGTACAAACGAAACTATTGATGGTACAATCAAGTACAAACGAAATGCTATTATTTTCCATGAAAAAAAAATGAATTTTTGAAAAGTAGGGTATCAGGTTCACATAGTTGCAAAAGTTACCTAGTTTTTTCATAGGCCCTAATTATCTCCTGGCAAGAATTTTACAATCTGTTCCCTATTTTCGAACAGACTTTCTAATCGGTTACTAGCTCACAAAATCAAGTATTAATATTATAAAAATATTGCATATTGTAAACGAAACTTAAAGTTGTCTGAATTGCGTCGCGTTTGGTGCCATTTTTATCAGGAAAATCTCGCCAATATATCGCATATACTTTCATCAAGATACAACAAAAAATATACAAACTTGGATGAGTAATAAGAAAATATTGTCAACTTCGGTCACGCATATTATCCCTTTGGAGTATGTACCTACCTGCGGCTGGTCATAAAGACCAGCCCCACGGTTGGAAAGAATAGCAATGCCCAAGCTCCGAGGGTTTGAAAAGGGAACAAGAACGAGGAAAAAGGCGATGTTTTTCCCGAACGCGTTCGCCGGATCCACCACCTCGTGGATCGCTGCATTTGGTTCGCGAACACAGTTTTCGCCTAACCCAGCTACTTTTACGACTTTACGCCTATTACGAGGGTCATTTGTTAGCGAACTCTGCTATTTCGCCACACTACGGCGAAAACCGGTGAATAACAGGGTTAGCTACCATGTTCACGAACGATGTACGCGAACCAGCGTTCGCTGCAGTGTGGACCCGGAGTTAGAATCTTTCTGAATTTTTGTTCATTTACTTTCGTTGTAAACCTCGAACAGCAAGAAGCTTGAGACACTAAAAAGTCGATGCTTCATGCGTCAGAGTTGATTCGGTGTGTCTGTGAAGGGTGGGTCTTCGAAGATGCCAATAGCACACTGTTATTACAGCGAATCATTAATGCTGAATACAATCGCAGGTTCGAGCAATTCGAAGAGCACAATCCTGGGGAAAGTACGTCGGTGTGTATAGTATCGGCTCTGTCTGACAACGCAACTCTGGTCGATCCTTACGGATGCGACACGGAGATCGCACCTTCCGTCTATCTGCACACCGTGTACATCGGCCTGGCGTGCATTCCTGGGTCCATCATACTGCCGATTTTCGTGCATAAACTTGGCGCAAAATTCTTCTTAAGTAAGTACATCGCGTATCGTTATGTATCCTTATGTATTCTTATGTACCCTTAATGTTTTGCATTTTTAACAACATTTTTATCCGGGTTTATTTTCGTGTCGCTGACAAATCTGCAACGACATTCGTGTTTACCTTAAAAATCCCGTTTTACGGTACAAATATTTGCTCTCGTTTTCAAAATAACCGTTGTTTTTTGCAGTACTGTCTCTGTTGGTTTCCGGCGCGGTGACGGTCGCCTTTTATTACGTCGTGAACGCCACACAGAACTTGATACTATCCTGCGTGTTCGAGGCATTGACATCCCTCGGTATCTCGTTGGTATATTGCGTAATCGTCGACATGTTCCCGACGAATCTCAGGTGAGCAGATCTTCTTTGATTTATTTATCGAGGAAATATCCACACGATGTAGTCGTCCGCGCGATTTATGATTGTTGAACGATGCAGTTAATTATCGCGACAGACGAGAACGGGAACGACGATAATGTTAATCGGCGCGACTCGTAATATCGTAGTCTGTCGCACTGTTCGGCGTAAATCACGTTTGGACGTTAGATAGTCGATAAAAATATTACCATATCGATTGTATAGGCTGCACGGTTTAAATTCGATTTATCTTTGTTAATTATGGAGAGAACTGATCCTTCGACTAGCGTGGAAAAATAATAAAGCGATATGGTTGGTTTTATTCCTGAATTGTATTCCAGAGTGATGGCTGCGGCACTATCTCTAACAATGGGCCGATTAGGCGCTCTCGTTGGCAATTTGGTGTTCGGTTACCTCATCGACTTGGCCTGCGAAGTTCCTATAATATTATTCGCAGCATTTTTATTCCGTAAGTACTCTCAACCTGCTTCCATCCAGGAAACGTGAATATTTTCTAACCGTTTCTAACTTTCGTCTATTTTTCAGTGTGTGGAATCATGTCGTTCCTGTTACCGAAGACGGGTAAAGAAACCCTCGAATAATCGAGGATCATGTCGCCACACACGCGCGCGCACAACACACACACGTGCGCGCACGCACACACCTCTCCTGACGCGAAACAACCAAAGAGAATGTTATCGAAAGTACGTCGAATAACGATCGTTTCCATTAACACGGGAGAAACTTGTACCTAATTGAACACTGATACCAAATCACAAAATCGGTCGAAGGAAACATTTTAAAGTTTCGAATTGACGTCGAATTTAGTCGCAATCGTGCCTGACGCATGCTTTAGAAAGACTTCCGTCACTTCTAACGGCTTGTTTAAATTCGTGTAAATATGTAAGATTTATTCGCGGACGTGACTCGTAAACGGCACTATTCGTTCTCGTTTCTTTCCTTTTGTATCATTTAAAGAAGCTCGATATTACGAATGACGAGTCAAGTGAAACGTACCTTCGTTCGACGTGCACGCGTCTGAGCGTGCCGTCCGATAGAACGATACTTTACCTATACGAACTTAGTATTAAGAGATGTTGGTTACCGTGTGTAATCCCTTCGTTCGCTTGTAAAGGCCTGTATTCCTGAACATATTCGAATAAACATAATTCACAGTTACACGGCTGCTACATCCGCATCCCTCGATCCCCATTGGTCGCCATCTTGGTACGATCCTCCAATTTGGCGGGAATCGTCAGCCCTCTGGTGCAGTGATGGCGGATTTGGCTCCCAGTTACGCATGCGTACTGGTTTTAGCGTCAATGACGTATCTAACGCGACCATAAAACTGGCGCCCTTAGTCGCCCCGCAGAAAAATAGAATTAGGTTAAACTTTACTTTGGCGGACCTGAAATTCAAACTCCGAGTTGACTTCAGTGACAGTTGCGGAAAAAGTAGGAAACTCCTGGACAAGGACGGAGAGGGCGATACAACATTTGCAGGAGATACGAGGACAGGGCGATTAAGCTAGCATGATTTTTTTTTTCCAAGATATTGAAGCAAAGAAGCAATATTTTCTAATAATTCTGGCTTTAATATATTCGTTACACTTTGGCGGATGCGACTCCAAGGCTTGATTTTGCAATTTCGGCCTTAAAACTTTATAAACAATAAAATGAAGACAGCAAAACGTACTTTTATTCTGCTCGTAACTTCTGAACTAGTGGATTCCTCGCATTTCCGGATTTTTCTCGACAAAATCTACAGGATTATGTAAAAGAAACTTAAAAATTGTAGATCCGCCAAAGTAAAGCGCAGCCTAGAGTTATAAATGAAAATTGAAAGTACTTCTTAGCGTGCAATAATATTAATTGTGCGGATAAATTATGACTTAGGGATAAAGGTTGAAATAATTTTGCAGACAAAACACATTTTTTATATTATAATTAAAAAAAAAAACGGTTTTCCTGATTTTTACGCCAACCGTTATGGGATCATAGTATCATACGTTGTTTTCTATAGCTACAGCACTGCGCGTTCAGTATTTTACGACGCGCATGCGTGACTGGGAGCCAAATCTGACATCACTGCTCCGGTGGCGAATCCGTGAAACATCTTTATAAAGCACGAAAGTTTGAAATAGATATATTATAACTCAAAAAAAAAAATACTCAAATGCTTTAATATTCGAATACTTTATGAACTTGTTTGCTTTTCATGTTTCGAACGTTTTGACTCACTATGCGTCAGATCAATGATCTTCACTTCTGGCCAAAGCGTCAATTTATTTACACGAATTCTCCGCGAGTCAAACGGACTATAATTCAGTTTGTCCAGAGTATTATAAGAAAAAAAAAAATAAAGAAAAAAATAGTACCAACATTGCGACGAGAAAATACCCTAGAGCGCTTACTACACAAAGTTCGTCGATTACAGAGATTGCTGTTGTTCTGTTACGTGTAAGTGCGACGATGAATCGCTAAAGGTAGTCAGGATTTGTGATATCGGTAGGAATAAATACGGGAAGCATGTGTTGCAAGTGATCGAAGGCGTCGTTTTGCTTAATGATATGATCATCGCCTCGAAATCCAGCAAAAGTTTGTCGTGGTGCTGTTTTAACAGCTGATCAACGGACAATCGGACAAAACCTTTCGTTCTAGTCAATCGAATATCCGCGGAGGAACGATGGCCGGGTTCGTATTGAGAGTTAAGACGAAATCAGGTCAAAAGGTCGTGAACGGATTAATCCCTCAGGACAAGGTGTCCGAATTGAAGTCGAAGCTCGCGGAGATAACGGAAATACCAGTGGACGCGCTTCACATTCTCAGTGGTTTTCCACCGAAGGCGATTAATCTTAACAAAGAGAAGGCCACGATCGAGGAGAGTGGCATCGTCTCGGGCGATACTTTGATCGTAGAGGAGAAGCCACCTCAATATAACGGGGAACAAAAATCGGAAGATATAGGACGGTCTCATATCGTAAACGAAGAGAATTTCGTCGATACGCCTGGTGTATTGATGAAGAAAGTTGTGCCTGCTGATAACTCTTGCTTGTTTACGAGTGTCGGCTATGTACTCAATGGTATCTACACTATTATATAAACTATTCACGCTTGTACCTTATCTATATACTATCTATATCTATCTATATATCTATACTTCTATTCAGTTTATTGAAACATTTCTACTTTTAAAATTTTCGACTATACCACACCTTTTAATTGGTAATTACTTGCCATGTAGACGACCACGTCCATTTCAATGGCCTTGAAGTATGTTGGAGGAAGAAGGTCATTGACAACATGCGGTAATTATTTGGACCAACATACTTCCAGGCTGTTGAAACGGAAGAGGTCGTCGACATGGTACGTAATTACCTTTTAATCTTGTAGTACACTTCCAGGTAAGGTTGATCCCAGTTGCGCAAGTTTTATGAGGGAGATTATAGCCAATGCTGTAGCAGCCGATCCTGAAGAATATTGTGAAGCTGTTCTGGGTCGACCTAACCCTGAATATTGTAAATGGATTTTGAAGTCTGATTCCTGGGGAGGAGCTATAGAATTATCCATATTATCCAAATTCTATGGACTAGAGATAGCAGTAATCGATAGTATTAATGCCATAATCAACAGATTTGGAGAAGATCAACATTATGCTCAAAGAGTTTTTTTAATATTCGATGGAATTCACTATGATCCTTTATATTTAGAACCTTTGGATGTAAGTATTAGAATCAAGACTAGCTCTCTTTAATTGCAACAAAATATGAGTGAATGAACGGAATAATAAAAGGAAGAAAATTTGTACTTGTTTGCAGGGTGGTAGTATTCAAACAATCTTTTCTACAGATGATGAGAGGATATTACTAGAAGCTGCAGAACTTGCAAGAGAAGCAAAGTCTAGTCGTCAATTCACAGATGTTCAAAAATTCACGTTAATGTGCAATGATTGTAAGGTTAAATTAAATGGGCAAATAGCTGCTCAAAAACATGCTAAAGAAACCGGGCATATGAATTTCGGAGAAGTAGCCGCGTAGCAAAATAAATCTACCCTCTGCCAATTATCGATTACTTTCAATCGGTCTGCTGTTTGAGAATCCTACTAAATTCAAGTCTCAAGCAGAATTTTCTATGTTAAACGAGGCTTGTAAACGAACTAGCTATACAATATGGATACATTATTGTTGAGAGAAGTTATACATGGTGCACTATGAGGATTGTTTAGACATTTAATATACACAGGTTTTTAATTTTGACTAAAGATCCCATTTCCGACATTCTTGTATGCACAATTTAACACGTTCTATGTCATTGCCTCAAAAATTATTGTTATTAGATATAATGTTACTTTAAATTTGCGAAATGTGCTTGTAAAGATTAAACAAATATACTAGAAGTAACACCGTACTACTAATTACCTCTTTAGCAAGATTAAGAATCTGTGATATTCGATTACATTTGCCTAAACGGAATTCATAGCCTTTATTGGCAGTGAATGTGTTCCACGCCATATAGAAATAAATTTTTAAATTTATCGTAAAGTGAAATGCATATTTTCGCTTTTAACAGCAAATAAATTTAGCACTGTTAATAGCAAATTTTATATCGATAAACTACTGTTCCCAAAAAAAAAAAAAAGAAAAGAATAACTATTAACATCACAAGTAACATCACACTTTTATCAATAAAATGTTACTCAATGAAAATTACAAAGGGTTATCTTAAAAGTTTGATCTCTATGCTATAATAGTTTAATTTATGGTCCAAATATGTACATGATAGTAATTAAACCATAAAAGTGTATAATTAAATAAAAATTAACTACTAAACCTATATTATATACGTAATATTAGAGCATAGTAATTATTTTGTTACTGCGATTTTTACTTGATTCAACCAGCACTATGAAAATATACGAGTTCCGATAAAACGACAAATTTGATTTTTGTAATAAAGTATAATATTTATTAGAAATGTATCGATCTAATACGATCCTTTTCTCCACAAGAATACACAGAGTACAACAACGTTATGAAATTGCCTCTAATTAATTCGTTATGAAATTATTAAAACTGGATGAAAGAAATTAGCTTGTTACTCAGGAACTACTAGTAACAGTATCTCACATATTCATATTTACAAAATAGTAGAGTGCATTTTGTAAGTTTCATCCTTTCGATAAAGTGAAATAAATAAGTTATTTACATTACCTTCTTTTTCTCGCAGTTCTTTGATGTACTATTTCACTGTTTCAAGTTCAATCACATTGTTCACATTCATAGTTTATTAATTTGTAACTGTAATTACGTTTTATTCAACGAAAAGAAAAACTATGCAAGCAAAACGTGACTTGCAACAGGATACAAACGATAAGACACTGAATTTATACAAATTACTTCTTATGTATAACGATTACTGTTCTGCAGAAAGAAAGAACATATATAAAAATATCAAATTCGCCTCCATATTTCATCGAATGCAATCGTTGAAAAATTAACGACGAAACGAACGAAGTTCGCGGTTCTAAATTCAGGCGCGCTTAGGACACGAAAAATGGCGGGATTTCGCATCTATAAGAATAGATACTCAACGATACAAGCATAGATGGCACCACGCACCCAGCACCAGGTTCCACAGCCAGGGCCGACGTTAGAGGAGGGCGCCAGATTTTTTCGGGTATACGAATATACCGATATACAGGGTGTCCTAAAAATGTTGTAACACCTTGAAAGGGGTAGTTCGGGAGGTGATTTGAAAAAACTTTTTCCTTAGCGAAAATGTTGTTCGAGGCTTCGTTGAGGAGATATTAACGGAAAACACTGACCAATCAGAGCGCGAATATACCGATGGGGCGGCCGCGGTAGCGTATGAGCGCGGCCGCCTATCGCGTAGTTTACACTCAACCGGCATGCTCGCGCTCTGATTGGTCGGGGTTTTCGCTTAATATCTCCTTAACGAAACTTCGGACAACATTTTCGCTAAGGAAAAAGTTGTTTCAAATCACCTCCAGAACCACCCCTTTCAAGATGTTACAATATTTTTAGGACACCCTGTATATACCCCTGAAGGGGCACCAATATTGCTAAAACCGGCCCTGGGCACAGCGATACTAAACGTCGCACATAAGTTTTCAATGGTTTTCATTTTCAGTAGTCTGCGTTTTGCAGTCATCTGCGCTAGTCTGGCAATCGTGAGGAAGGGTTGGTGGAACATCATTTGTTCTTACGTGAACAGAATACGAGAAGCAAGGAAACGGGAATGTGACTTTTTTCACACAGAAATAAAAGGCGTAGCTTCGTGCAATTACTTGGGGCGAGCGGAAGCTTCGTTAATGAAGTGAACACGGATATAATTCGTGAGAATCTTGGCATGGTGTGTCCCGTGAAAAGATTACCGATATAAGAAAATGTCGCTGCTGCCGAAAACGGTACATTTAGCTGAAAAGAATTTACTGACAAATAGGTGAAAATGGAAGATGAAGCAGACCTCAGAGAACAACTGTTTCACAACACCGTACGGGAGAACATCGTGAGTAAATGCTTCGACTATAACCGTCCATTTGTTTATTAGACGTCACGTATTAACGAGGATTCTTGAAATTTCGTTGCTGCGATCACCCCGTTCTCTTTAATGTTTCTAGTTCGAGTATTCAATTATTAAACGGAACGAGACTGTCCCTGACTTTTATTAAACACCGACAAAAATCAGTTCGAAGTTTCTAACCTTCAAGTTATCGAACTAACTTGAACCTAGGTCCCTCTTTGTCTCCCTCTATCTATTTTACCATTGTATGTCGTCTGTACAATTATTTTACTTACAAATGAATCCTTGATATATTAAGAACTAAACCTAGATTAACGGACACGTATGTTCAAGCACTGGACACGTATAGTTTTATCTTCTCGCGAATTTTATAAAATGAATAAAATGAAAATTAAGGTTAAACTTTGCTTCATGGCACTAAAAATTATCGATTTTTTTTTTGTACCATTCAGTAGATTTTTATGCCTAAAACTTACATTCTTGTGATCTAGCTATCAAAATCTACTGAATTGTATAAAAAAAAAAGTCAATAATTTTTAGTGCCCAGAAGTAAAGTTCAGCCAAAATTAATTTTAAAATGCTCAACCTAACGGATTTAATTAGCTAGTACACATTTTCGAAAACAGAGAGCTAATGATGTAGGATCGTTTGTGCAATACACAACGATAAGGCACTCGTTTTCTCTTTTGTGTCAACACGAAGAATCTGCGTAGATACATACGTGTCCGCAAAAAGAATAATAAATTCTATAGGTATAAACACCGACACGTACGATCGCTGATATGGAACTTCTATTTAAAGAAACGAGGGGGTATACAAATTTCAGATATTTCTTATCTGTATCATGGTTTTTTGATATACGCGAGAATAGTAAGAAATCGTCATTACAGTGATATTAAAGCTTTGTTCCATTCTCTCGCTGCTAATATTACTCGAGTTCGTCCTAAATATTATCGATGGTATTTCTCGTTAATTATACAAGCGTACAGTTACCCGTCGTACTGAGTACGACGCTGAGTACAATAATAGAACGCTAAAACGTTTTTATCCGGAGTGTTTGCTTCGGTAATTTTTACGCGAAAAGAGGTTCGAGTTGCAAAGCTGCCAAACGAAAAACGTCACGATAATGTGGTGTTACGACGGCGTGGGTTGTAAGCGAAGCACCGCAGGGGCGTTTTAGGTATACCTGTTGGTAAACACGAATCTGTTTAACCGATTGGCTTGAATCCTTACGATATTTTACGCGTGGATCTGTAGTCTCGATGCGATTGTAGATGATTTTCACCAATCTACAGGGTGTCCGAAAAATGTTGTAACACCTTGGAATGGTAGGTTCGGGAGGTGATTTGAAACAACTTTTTCCTTAGCGAAAATGTTGTCCGAGGCTTCATTGTGGAGATATTAACGGAAAACACTGACCAATCAGAGCGCGAGTATGCCGGTTGAGCGTAGGCTACGCGCTAGGTGGCTGCTCTCGTACGCTACCACGGCCGCTCCATCGGCATACTCGCGCTCTGATTGGTCAGTGTTTTCCGTTAATATCTCCACAATGAAGCCTCGGACAACATTTTCGCTAAGGAAAAAGTTGTTTCAAATCACCTCCCGAACCTACCATTCCAAGGTGTTACAACATTTTTCGGACACCCTGTATTGATTCTAGATAGTGGCTCTGCGTATATAGAGCGTAGTACGTTCCAAGCGTACGCGAGACAATCGAAATTATATATTGTAGTTATCTGCCTCGCTGATTGGATTAAAGATTAAGATTACGTGTCTTTCGTCGCGATGCAGTTGTAAATACGTAGAAACGACGGGTTTCATCGACATATACATGAACGGTGACGATATTTCGAACCGTTCTTTAACCTTGACTCGTTACACTTTGTTTAACGGACTTTAATTGGATAATCGCTGGTATTCGATAGGCGGAAGAATCTCGGACGGAGGACGGTCTTCGCAATATGGTTTCCCAATACTTTCACGCGAAGTCGTTGACCAGATATTACTTCGGATCTCCGACCGGTTTTTCCTTCTACCTTCGTTCTCTGCAAAAAGCGGTTTCCAACCGAGCATGATGCGTCTACGACCGCTGCGACTCAAGTCTTGGTCGCATCAATTTCCACGGAATGTTTCTCGAAACCCCTTTGGGGTCCAGATTTTCTAATTTTAAGATGGCGGGACTATTAATAGGGTTCAGACTGGGACCACAAAGGGCTAGTGCAGACATATCTCGATTATATTAACAGTTCTCACCTGTTGACTTAAAATTACTAGTTTGTCGGGGACAGAAATTCATTTCTTTATCATAATTAAATTTGAGAGGAAAGGAGAGGTGCGTCTCTCTCTCTCTCTCTCTCTCTCTCGGCAATACGGCGTGCGTTTGTCTATTTTTATTTTTGTATACCGAGTAGAACAAGGATAGTTTATAAGAAGTAGTTTAAGATTTTAATTGTAAAGAGGATGTAACGGAAGGGTCTCTGCAGACTTCGAAGTGAGGCAGAAATAAAATAAATATTATAATTAAATTTGAAGTCGCTTCAACGTGTCAAGAAAAAATAATTGAGCGCATCATTGAAAGCGCATCCGTGAACAAACATGCGCGATAAACACACACGTCTTAATCGTTCGTTCTGGGTCACGTGTGGAATACCTTTTAAGCTTGACAAGTCAACAGCGATGCTCTTGATCTAGAAAAGCTAAAAATATACTTGCTCGGGTCAAAGACACGCGAGTTCCACCGTGAAACATAGAAAATTCGTTTGTTTTAATTAAGGGGCGTGACGCGCTTTACGTAAATAAAATCTTGCTCGGATTACGTTGTAACATCTATAAAGTCACGAACACTCGATTAATGTACATTAGCTACGCCCTGTGAAATACATGCACGGTTATTCGAACTAAATTTAAGACCGCGGTCGAAACAGAGAATATACAGGGTGTCCCAAAAATGTTGGAGGTCCTTGAAAGGGGTGGTTCGGGAGGTGATTTGAAACAACTTTTGCCTTTGCAAAAATGTCGGATGGGGCTTTGTTAAGTAGATATTAATAAAAAAAAAAACCGACCAATCAGAGCGCGCGGATACCGTTGGAGCGGCCGCGGTAGCGAAGGCTACGCGCTGAGCGACCGCGTCAATGTCCTTCGATGCACGTCGAGTCACTTGTTCGCGTACGAGAGCGGTTACCTAGCGCGTAGCCATCGCTATCGCGGCCGCTCCAACAGTATACGCGCACTCTGATTGGTCGACGTTTTCCGTTAATATCTCCTCAACGAAGCCTCGGACAACAATTTCGCTAAGGAAAAAGTTGTTTCAAATCACTCCCTGAACCACCCTTTTCGAGGACCTCCAACATTTTTGGGACACCCTGTAGTATCCGGAAATTACATTGCCAGAATTTATTTGAATCGCATGGTTCGGGCATTCGTTAATGTCAAATTTGCTTCGCGCATATCGCGCAATTACATTCGTTCGATTTCTTCGGCGATTTCGTCGCCAAGTTTCGAATCGTAACCTTTTATCGCATCACGCTCCCGTAAAAATGAGAAAATTCTTATGTAGATAACGATTAGTATCCGAGTTGTAGACTGAAATATTTCACGATTTATGACAAGAAAATAATATATACTTAATGTATAATGGAATACGCAGAAGTAACTTAGTACCAGTTCACGAATGCTTTATCTCTGCAAATACATAAACAGTTCGAGTGCTTGATTACCTCTAACTGAAGTACTCTTGTTCTCAGCTCTTGATATGTCGATAGCTGTACAGCTTTTTTAATTAATTTTTACACAGTATTTCGATGGATCCGTACTCCGAAAATTGAATTACTAAAAATACGAATTTAGACGCCATTCGTGTAACGCTCCTTCTGTTGATGAAAACTTCGACGTTACTCGTAAATGAATGACGTGGCAATCGTGTCAAATAAACTGTGCCAACCGAGCCGTTACTGATTACGGTACGAAATAGGCTTAAAAATACTCTCGTCCGAATGATAACTCGAATGAATGATGTTTACTAATAGATCTTTTCGCTTCATTTTTGTTTACCATTGATTATCGAGCGCATACGTGTAAAAGCTTAAAAACTCGCTCCCATAACCTGCTCCCATCATGAACATTGTTCGTGTATCGTCTAAAAGGGAACGCTACATAGTTACACACGTGACGCAGTTAGGGGAATTGGGGGAGACGGAAAATTAATGCAAGCATGCTTGATACGTGAGAGTGATACTCGGATGTTTGCTATAGTCGAGAGTTAGAGTTAATAAACATGTACAAATTCGTTTCTGTAGTATCGTATCACCAACTGAACGTGATCTAACTTAACCCATCGCTGATTGCGATCGTAATTCTCGGCACTTGTAAAGCTGCAACATTTTCATAATCTAGTTTACTTCGTTCGTCTTATCATGGCTTAGGAGCTATCAAATAAAAATTGTTGCAAGCTTGCTAGTTCCTCGCATTAAACACGTTCATCGTGTAGAAAGGTCAAGCTATCTTTGTCGGGAGTTTATATTATTTTATTAGGTTGTCCCAAAAGATTCTTTCGTGAGTTGCATTCAATTATTTTCTGTGGCAGTGTTTATATAAATAGACAATCTAATTTCTTAGACATTGATGCTGTAACAGTAATGGAGCGAAATGAATTGTACACAATTTTGTAATGTAACATGAAACATAAAATATTGTGTATGTATTAATTATTAATAAAACGAAAGAAACTTTTGGGATAACCTAATAGAAGCAGATTTCTTCCTTTTCAGCTATTTGTTTACGATTGATTTTATTTCAGATATTTCTCCTGCTATTCTTGGTCCTTTACGTTTCGAGCTACGCGTTAATCGCGAAATTCCGTCGGAAAGATCGAGAAGATTATTTTTCCGTGGACGAGGATGAAGCAACGGTGTACAGAATCAGTCTTTGGTTATGTACCGTCGCTCTGGCGGTTTCCGTTGGGGCGACACTGCTGCTTCCAGTCTCCATCGCGAGCAACGAGGTCCTCATTTTATATCCAAACAGCTATTACGTGAAATGGCTCAATAGCTCGCTCATTCAAGGTACCGGGAATCTTTAAACTCGTGCTTCTCGATTTTATACTCGATTTAATACTCTTCGATTTTCTTCAGGTCTATGGAATCATGTATTCCTCTTCTCAAATTTATCTCTCTTCGTGTTTCTACCGTTTGCCTACCTGTTTACGGAATCGGAAGGATTTGTTGGATATAGAAAGGTAAGATTAGTAAATTCGTATAAACAAAATTTACAGGAAGCGTCTTCCTTTTTTGACGATTTTTTTACTAATCGATGAAGATGATTAATTGCAGGGTGTAATGGCTAGAGTTTATGAAACTGTGACAGTACTTTGTTTACTTGGAGCGCTTGTATTAGGAATGACATATGTTTTATCAGCGCTCATAGATTACCAAAAGTCCAGTCTTCACACATTGCTCAGTAAGTATTCTAAATATTTATATTTTCTTTGTCTCTTGAAGCGTTTCGTTGTTGTCTTCTTGGGATTTTTTATCTTAAATATCTGTTCACTATTATAAAGACGTCTTGTATTACAGATTTATGGACTTACTATTTGCCTTTCCTTTACTCGTGCGTTTCTTTTGTTGGAGTTGTTATGTTACTGCGTAAGTATTATTCTTTAGAAGAGTGATCGGTGTATCCATTATTCTTTAATCGTGAGAAACAAATTTATGCTACTTGCAGTATGTACACCGATGGGATTTGTGCGGTTATTTGGAGTGGTCGGTTCGTTTCTCGTGAAACCACAGTTCCTAAAAAATTTAGATGAAGAGTTTTTTGCATATAAGTTGGAGGAAGATTGTATTCGAAGAAGGTTTGTTACTTCGAATTATTATTTTAAATATATACGATGAATTCTCCTCTGATAACGCTTGATACATCTGTCGTATATTTAGGCTAGAACATGCAAAGGCAACTGGAAAATCATATGTTTCGCCAGTGCCCATGTCCATACCAGCATGTGGTTCGATGCTCGAAGACGATGAACTCCTTAATGCGAATCCAAGCTTGATGTGCCTAAGGAACGGTGCCTTGCAACGTGGATTGGCTCAACGATTAGAAGACATCCAAAAACGGAGGAAGATCTTGGATCAGCAAAGACGAACCTGGTGGGTTCGACGTACTTTGCTGTATCCCTTGGCGATGCTAGCATTACTTATGCTTTCCACTGCCACTGCCTTGCTAGCAGTTCAAAACACAGTGGAACTACTTATCGGGATAAAAGCACTCCCTTTGAGTACCAGGGTTCGTATCGATTCGGTATTACACGTCGTACGAGGGAAGAAAATTTTTGTAAATAATTAATCGTCGATATAATCTTCTAGCAATTTACTCTGGGCATCAGTTCGTTATCGAAGCTTGGCCCCATTGGAGCAACCATCGAGGTGGCGGTCATTTTATATCTAGCAGCGACGAGCGCGATAGGCCTGTACACACTTCCGGGTGTTAGACGTGTTCAACCACGGTTTCATTCCACGCCTCTTACGCATCTCATAGCAAATTGTGCCCTCCTTCTTGTACTGAGCTCGGCATTGCCACTGTTATCACGGATATTAGGTAAATCTATAACCCATTGATAACACGAGTTGACAAAATAGTTGACGAGTTTACTTGTAACATTCTTCTATCGTTCTTTCCAGGTATGACAAACTTTGACTTGCTTGGTGATTTTGGACGCATCGAGTGGCTTGGAAACTTCAAACTAGTATTGTTCTATAATTTAATATTTGCAACGGCAGCGATTGGTTGTCTAGTGACAAAGTTTACAGCAACAGTCCGCAAAGAAATCTACGCTAGGTTGAGAAGCAGTTTGATAGGAATTTTTAGAAGCGAAGGTAAGAAAAGCTCCGTAGGGGTGTTTTCTACGAAAGATGATTAGACTGACTTACGCTATAAACAGAAAAAGAATATTTATAATTTAGCATTAAAAGTGAGTAAAGACAGATAATTGTATTTGCATGATATATTAATAATTGAAATGCAAATGTGCGAAGCTATGATATGTATGTTCGTGAAATTTGGAAGTTCTATTTAATACTATAACAATGGGATGAGTTAAACATTCTAAAAAAGTTTAATTGGACTTTGAGTGATGTTTGATGAGAGGGCCAGTCATGAATATCCCATACGACACTTATGTTGTCACACATTTATGCGTGTGCGTGTGTGTTAATACTTATATTAATTATTTACCGAAAGTATGCATACCAATCTTACGTGAGTTAATTCAACTCGCTGCATTGACAACGCAGTATTGTGATAAAGACACGAAAGCAAATGTTCAGCGGATATGTGAATTATCGTTGTAGCAGATAATACATATGCAAAGGTACGTAAATACCTTCGCGTGTATCTTTGCGTTTATGTATGTACACATACATATATTATCTTATATGTACTTTCTTACTACTGACATGGAGAATCTCGCAATCACCATTTTAGAATATAAAAATCGAAAAAAGGTCCAGAAACTCGCAGTAGAAAACATTTCGAAAAAATTCTCCAACCATTTTTTAATTCGCTAGTGCTCTTTTCCACATATCAATCCATCAATTTAATTAATACCGTGTGAAGAATAAAAAAGATTCCGCAGTACAGGCTTTTTATCTCTCTATGAAAGGAGTTTAAAGTCTCTCATTTTAAATCAGTGGTTTTTAAGTTCAAGATGACGCCTTTTCTATAAAAATAACAAACTTCTACGTCCGAGATTCATATGTAAAATTCGTTTTTATTAACTATGATCAAACTCTTAAGGAGAACCTTCCGCATTAAAAATTTTCTCTCGCATCTACTTTGAAAAAACACTGTTTCAAACATTGTATCTTTGTAATTGTAGGCAATTTGATGTGCCTAATTAATTACTAAACTCTAATAAAGTTATTAGCAAATTTACTAAAAACATACATTACATATGTAAAGAAATTCACAAATACAATGACACATACACAGTACTGTTTTTATAGTAGTCTCGTTTCAACAACGTTGTTTATATGCATTTTATCGATCATTTTTATTAAGTGGTTCGTGATCGTGACCGCAAAAGTTTATTAAAAATTTTGTATGTAAATGCACTTACAAGAAAAGTAATAATACATATTTGAAGGTGCATGTAGACTGGCATAATAACATGCAGAAAATCTTAAAATGTTATTGTTTCGACTGACTCGTTTCTCGTTAGTTCGTTACTGTAAGTTAACGCTTTAAATTAAGTGATTATTTATTTACTTTAAACACTTAGCCCGCCTTTTGACTGTGTCTAATATTTATGTTATACCATTCATAACATTTATTTAGTCAATAAAACGGATAATATTTTACAACAATATTATGTGATATATATCTCGTCAACAAGACAATACGATGTTGTTAGGATTTGCACTGGCAATGATGTATCCACCAATGAATTATTAACAAATTTAATTAGAGAGAGATCTCAGGATAGAAAATATTGCTTAACATTTGTTACAATAATGCTACCTTGTGGATCTATTTGTAATAAATCGAAGTTCTCAACTGAGAATTCTCTGTAGACACAGATGATTAAATAAATAAAAGATATTACAACTAAAATATGAATCCTTTTTGTAAAAGTAAATAAACCATAAGTTGTATTATCAGACGATTTATTAATTGCTTAAAATTATGTGTAAATTTATAAGTTGTTCATCTTTGAAGATACAAATGTTGCTTAGCCATTGAAATGCAAATAATACAATTGTACCAGTGATGCAATTAATCACAAACCATTTTTAGTCCATAAATACTTAACATATTAGTTAGAAAGAGCATTCCAACTCCTTTGCGTATAATTCTGTACTGATATGGACAAGTTAAATCAACTATTGTGGACCCTTTTCTCAATACTTCGCGGATGGTAGTTGATAGTTTTGAATCATAGAATATTCCTCCCAACTTTGGCCACAATATTTCAAATTCATTAGCATTCAAACAACTTGGTTCGTTACTTAAATTAGCACTTGTTAGTGCTAATGGTCCAACAATGTTTGCAAGACAGTTTATAAACTTGAACTTTGGAACTCTTATGCCCACGGTAGAAATTCCTGGATTCAAAAAAGGATTTAAATCAGGTGTCCGTTCCAAAACAACTGTATATGGCCCAGGTAATATCGCTGGTAATAAATTAGGTGGTAAATGACCCGTATAACCCCAGTGTTTTATATCCGCCACAGAACTAACTGAGATAGATATTGGTTTCTTTTCGTTACGTCCTTTTATCTCGTACAGCTTTTTGATAGATTCAGTATTATTTATGATACCAGCAAGGCCGTATACCGTATCCGTTGGAATCGCTACAATTTCATTTCGATTAAGTAACGTAGCTGCTATTGCTAAGCTTCTTTTCCCTTTACAGATCCAATGTTTTTCAGATGATTCTACGTATTCTAGTTGTTCCATGGCTGCATTCATGGCACACCCCATAGAACCCAAAAATTTTGTACTTTGATTTCTCTTTCCATCCCATACAAAACGACCCTATATTTTTAAAACGGTAAATCTGTTATTGCCGTTAAAATATGAGGATGATGCAAGTAGTATCACTTTAGTTAACCGCGTATTTCGATGAATCATTCGAATAATAGTTATAGATATAATTCGACGCAGTAATTTTTTAGTTTGTACAAGGCTGGTAAACAGTAAATAAATGTTCGTAGAATGTCCTAAACTTAAGTCTAACCTCCTGTCGCGTAATTGTTATGGTTAGGATACCTTTAGTCTCGCCAATTGTGACCACATGGAGGATTGCAGCATTTGTAAAACGTTGTCATAGGTTCGTCAGCAGACCTTGTCTGAATTTGCATGAAATATGCCCGAGGATGAGAGCACTTTGGGCACCGTTCCTCCGTGGAATCTACGTTTTCCCAAGCTGCACTTCCACCTAACACGTCGTCCACTTCCTTCAACTTCGGATACGTACGGCTGCTAACTCTCCTCGCGATATTAAATACATAAGGGCACGTGTTGCAAGCGAAACGTAAACCTGACAAAGCTTCTTCTACATGAAGCATGTTGCCACAGGTTGGACAGAACATCAACATCGTGCTAACATTGATGTGAGGTCATTGGAATAATGAATACTTGTAAACGATCGTTAGGTTTAATTTTCATATTAACGTAAGTAACGAGCAAGAAGAATTAAAAAGATGACATAATTAGGTATTATGATCATTCGGGATACATGAATAATGCAATGAGGTTTTCTGATGTTACATGTGACACGTGACTGTACATTTCTGACGAAATTAAATGTAAATAAAGCGTGTCACGTGACTAAAATTTCATTGATAGCTTGATGTTTTCCCTAATGCTCGCTAGGGGTCACTAGGGACATATTTTCCACTAGGTTATGTTAATAGCCCGATACTAAATAATAATTAATAACTCGATACTATTAATATTAACCTTTAAATTAACGCTACTTTACATTCGTCAAAAATGATTTATATCGAATATATATTAAAACGAATAAGAAGGGTTATTGAAAATAACAAAAGCATATGTTTTCAATGTCCAACATTCTTTCAAGTAACATTAAAAAAATTCTCCCATAATAGATATACGTTGCAGGAATGATTGAGATTGACAAGACAAAATCTGATAATTCAGTCTTGCAGAAACATTTGTAGGATATAAATTCCTCTTTCTGACACTCTCTAGTAGAATTTGCGGTTCGAATCGTATTGTTTTCGTAGCAGTCTGTTTAAACGATTTCGTACGATTCCTTATAGCAGGGGCAGAATAGTGTCCATCGGTAGATGCCTCGAAAGTATCGATACTTTCGCTATCGTCAGCTTTGTAAAGTACCGAGGGAGGCGCGACAACTTGTACTTTCAATGATTCTGGGACTGGATCATTTGTACTTAATTTATTTTCCTCTGTTGTAATTTCATCAGTCTTATCGTTTATAGGCTGAACAGAATTGATTGGATTTGTATTAAGATTGTTTTCTCCCTCGTTTGTAAAAGTATGTCGCATTTCAGATAATTTAACGATTTTAACCAATTGCTTATCGTTATCGTTATCTTTGACATCATCTTGATACGGTATACCGTGCTCTGTATTTTCCTCTTCTTTTTCATTATTTACAGGAACAAATTTCCATAATTTTGCCTTCTGATCTGGGAACAAATTTTCATTTCTACGACAACAATACAGTGCTCCAGGGTCTATCGGGTGTGCTTCTGTATTGAAAATGTAACCACCTGCGTCTACAACACATTGGCCCCACTGAGTCTGAATAACTTCTCCTTTCTGGCCATTGTTATGAATAAAGTTATCGAGATCAAAGAGTAGATAAAGATATTTTGTTGTCTCTGCCAAGAAAAAAGATTCCATTCTGTCTGCCTTTCTATGGTCCCTGACATCATTGATTGTTGCATATCCGCACATAGTTTTGGCGCTGTGCTGTAGACTTCTTAATATGTCCACTCCTACTTGTATTAAATAAGGATCACCTGTTGCTCTATATAAATACATAACTGATTCTATGAGCTCTGGTCTCAAGGGATACCCTTCCCTATTAGTGCCTGCTTCTGCTTGTGGAATGTTATAAAATTCTGGTGTAAATCCAAATTGTTTCCAAACACGATGATAATTATGTACTGATCTCATAGCATCTCCAATTTCGCCAAAGAGACTCAGTACCCCAGGCCAATAAGCATCCAGAGATTGAAATACTGGCAAGGTCACTTGACCTTTAGTCATGGAAACCCACAAGTGCCAATCATCTCTACGAACATATTTCTCTATGGCAGCTTTGTGTTCATGAAAAATTGTTGCTAGCAGTGGATTTTGAAACAGTAAGGCACCCTTTGCCAAATATTCAAAATAGGAATCAACACCCGCGCCAATTCCAGAATCTTGAGCTGTCCAATGTCCAGTTAATACATCAACATGGTTACCAACTAATCCAATATTTGATTTATAATAATGCAATGCTTTAATAGCATTCATAGCTATTTCTTCGTACAATGGATCTCCAGTCAATCTGGACAAAGTCCCGAATTCTAACAAAAATGTACCAATGCCAGCAGTGCATGTAATGCTTGTTTCACCTTCGGGCACTCCATACTTCAAATTGACTGTACCATATGGCATTCCTGTTGGAGTATCAAAAGCTGCGATCAACCGTTTTGCCATATCTTCAGCAAGGCGCAATAGCGGGCCATTGCAGGGCCATCCTGGTTCCAGATCTATGCCTGCTTTACGAGACAGAAGATGAGCACTGAGCAATCCCCCGACTACTCGTATATTAGTCTCAAATACAGATACATTTATGTTCGCTTCAAAGTTTGCTCTGGCGCTTATGATCGCTGCTACACGTCGAAATTCTGAATAATTGCCCATTACAGCAAGGGTGTCTAATGCGTCTATAAGCGTCAAGGAGAAACTACCCCATGTGTCGAATCCATCGCAACTCAACGATCGCAGCTCGTCGTAAGGGTAAGCGTAGGTTAAGTAACTCGAATAAGCGTGATCGAACATGGATCGTACTTCTTCTCTTAAACTGATTAAATCTTTCTTTTCGTACTCACGTAACCCATTTACCAAGCATAAAAGGCCAAAAAGTAACCCTATACCGAGGACAGACATTCTGAAAATGACATATGACGTCTATTCTATTGTCTTTGGTTAATTAACGATCTTATAAATGCATGTGCAACGTAAAATGGTTCCTTTTTAAACGTAACATTACTCGAGGTATTGTTGAACTTGAAACTGATTATTATGTAGGTTATTCTCATTGTATATTATCGAGATTACTCTCACATGTGGATGCATGTGGAATTGAATGGGAATCATATGTTCGATGCGTTTGTGAAGAAATTTTATGTATGTACGTACATAGTACATACATTTACGTATGGTGACTATGATTACATAAATTGGAACGTAAAGACACAAAATTAAATCGGTTCATTCGTCGTTTAACGCTATTATAATTACTTTTTCTGTATAAATCTTTCTATTTCGATAGTAATAATAATCTATCTATATAGCAAGCCGAATTATTCAAGATAAATCACGTGATTGAGACAGAATCTTATTGGTTATACTCTAGCACCTAGAAATAACAAATTTATGTGTTTCTCCTAAAATGATAAACATCATTAAGAGGTTATTAAAGAGCAACGTTAAATACATGTTTCTTTAGTATCTTTTTAAATTGTTTTAATGAAAATAAAAGAGAACACGATGTGCAAATGATGACCAATGAAAGCTGCTCTTCCATACCTATTATCTGAGGATTGGTTGTGAGGTTGTGCCACACGTTCTATAATTTTTTTTTCAACAGGAATATTAAGTTTAATGGTACGGCATTTCGTCGACGAATGGACACGATTGGACGTGATATAATATTGGAATTGAACAGCAAACTTATACCAGATTTGACTAGTAAACACTTGTAAATTGAAGACAATCAGAGGCAATCGTGCTGCTTGATTGTTCACGACTACCGCAGAGGATCGTCGAGAAATTTTCAATTCCAGACAATGCCGTGAAAGTTATTAAATGTATCGCGAACTCGGTTCGTACCAGTTCACGCTTTGTTTTTTCGCTCGAATACCGTGAAATAAAAGGTTGTTATTAGTTGTTGTTCGTTATATATTATGGGAGCAATATTTTCTTTAAATTCGCTAAGAAAATTATACGGAAAATTATCTTCCGCTCGTTTAGACACATCCAATTGTTGGGTAAAATTAAAAATTAATAGTTACTCTGTAGGACTGCGATAGCGATCGGTAAAAATGAAATTAAACGAGCTTGTTTACTGGTAAGAAATTTTAGAAACTGTTATATTTCACCCTTGAATCCTACAAAGAAACTTGTTCGAACCGATGTAAATTTATGTCATGTTTCAGGTATCAGAAAAAAATTGGTACTTACGACAAGCAACAATGGGAGAAAACTGTAGAACAGCACATTCTTGGAGGCTTTACACATGTTCCAATGAGAACTGCAAAATTGAAAACAGAATATATAGATGTGGATCTTGTTCGAGGTAAGATAAGCATTAAAATATGCGAAGAAATAGATTAGACTTACAAGAGTAATATTTTTACCACAGGTTCTTCATTTCCAAAAGCCAAGCCAAAGCATGGACTGTCTATAGTAGCTTGCTTGGCGCTTCAGCGGTTATTATTTCTCCCTTTATATAGGAAATGGTGGATGCAACAGACTAGTCTAAAAATTTTTACATTATTTTTGTTACTCTATAGTTTGCAAATGGTCAATATGTGCATATACTTTTACCAGATGGCCAAGGATAAAGAAAGTGATGTATGATGATAATCATATTTCTATTGTAAATTCCCTGAGCTCTGTTAGTACACGAGACACTTTTTTACAGATTGTGTCAACGTCTGAAGTATTAATACCTACTATTATGATGCTAGTATTATGCATTGTTCATTCCCACATTGTATCTACTCATACAGGACCATCGATATCTGATGGACAAAGTAAACAGAGAATAGTGAGACGATCGCGGCATGCTAGGTGTCGATTGGGAAAATCAAGGACAAGACAAAACTTACGTAAATTTTTTATTTTACAAGTTACAGAATTTTATTGAATGATTGCTAAATGTTTATATTCACTATATATTATTTACAGGTTTGCATGAAGATTCTAAATCGTCTCAAGATACCGCTTCTGAGAAAGCTAGTACAGTAAATGGTGAAGTCTTAACTTCTGTGCGGTTTGCTAAAAAAGTTGTAATTGAAAACTCTTTGACTGCTAGTCGATCTCAAGTAATTATCAAAGATGTGTATGTATCAAATCAATAATAGTTATCTTTATAGCACTTTATCTTCCACAGGAATTTATGACTGCTCAAGCACCCTGTGATAACGAACTAATAAGTTCATCTGTGAGTAATCCTCTTCCAATAAATGAAGCTTCAACTAGTCATACTCCATCAAGTCAGTACATTTTATATTATATTAGAGTTGAATAAGAATTATTTAAATAGAAATGTTTTATCCAAACACAGATGTTTTATCTTTTGTACAGTTCAAAATACAAAAAATGTACACCTAGATGATGATGGATTCGAAAGTTTAAATGGAAATGTATCGAGCGATAATGATAGAGGTATCGCGCGAGCAACAACGGAGAAGTCTAAACAAAAGAGAAATGTACTACATAAAAATAACGAAGACTGTAATCTTCGGTTAGAAGGCTCTACTACTCAACAAATTTTATTACAGCCTAAATTTTCAGGTTTGGCTGATAGCAAATTATTTTTATTTGAAAAGTGTAGAATGTATTTCTCTATTTATTCGTGGTTTCCACTTTTCATACAGCCCTTGAGTTATCAAAAATTGAAGATATTTCTTCAAAGAGCGATGGGGAAACTTCTAATAAAGTGGTAAGTATTACTAGTTACTTAATTATAGCTACAATCGTCGTATTACATCGATAACATAGTTATTATCAATAATATAATTTAAACAGAAAGCGTGAAAATAATTTAAAAACACATTATTAATGTACAGATATTTGAATAAACTTCTAGTAATTAAATATGTAATTTTCTGTAGTAATTCATGAACATCCCTAATTTTTGTGCGATTCAACAATCTACTATACGCAAGTAGTCAAATAATGTTCAAATATTTATTCGTCGCTCATCGTGTAGGATAAGGATCACAGTCCCGTAGCAATCGGTCCAAGAAAATCCCGACAACAATGCGAAAGTGAGGAGGAAGGAGAATGCGAGGAAACTGCCACGCATCATTTAACAGAGGCTACGACATCTGCTACTGAGTGGATGGGAGTAACTACAAACAGTGATGATTGTAGTTACAGGTACAAAGACTATGCTAATGCTATATTAATTCTTCTATTATTTTTAATTTTCTTCTAAACGGTATCACGAGCTTGAAAGGGTTAAGAACCACTGCTCCATACGATAACGAATGTAACACGTTGAACATCAGTAATTCTTGCAGTTCAGAACTTGAGGAATCCGATTTGCATAGCGAGACTAACAAAAATTATGGGGAGTTCGTGGAGCATCCCTTTTCTTGGGAATTTGAATTACCGCCCTCCATAATGCTTAGTTCTAGTTGCGCTTCGTATGATCGTGGTAAAGTATATTAAAACAATAAAAGCAAGCATTTAAACGTTGCTTCGTTTCGCTCAATCATCCTTATATTTCAGTTTCGTGCGCTATATGGACACGTCGTGATATAAAAAAAGCTGAACTATCCGTATTGGACATTAGTTCAGCGATTATCGCCAGAGTAGAGTCAATGCCTGAGAGTATGAATTATTTTTACGGTGGCCTAATCCTTAGCGTAGTGTTAGCGCTAATACCATCCATTAAACGATTGAACGATCACGTTGGAATGGACAATAGCAGTAATATAACCAGTTCCTTCATACCAAACGACTTAATTTACGTCAATTTGGAAACTTACAGTGATATCATATGTAAAGTGATAGGTTTGGCATTTGGAACGACGCTTTGGTAAGCGCGAATTATTTAAATATATATTTGTAATAGATGGTAATAGCCTGCCTAGAAAATTGATAAGTGTATTTCGCTTGGTTTCAGGGAACGTATAGTAGTGCTTATATCGGCATTCGAGAGGCTAATGTTGTCTTGTTTATTATTTTTTTTATTAGCGGTCGCAGAACGTACTTACAAGCAACGACTCTTGTACGCTAAGTTGTTCTCGCATCTGACGTCGTCGAGACGCGCAAGAAAATCAGATTTGCCGCACTTTCGATTGAACAAAGTGCGAAACATAAAGTTGTGGTTGAGCGTTAGATCTTATTTGAAAGTAAGATAAATCATTATTATAGAAAACGAAGGATGTTCTAATTAATGCGTAACTTATTACAGAGAAGAGGGCCACAACGTTCCGTAGACGTAATAGTATCAGCAGTATTCATCGTTACGTTGTTACTGTTGTCATTTGTGAGCTTAGAGTTAATTAAGGTAAATATGAACGAGTACAGAGTAATAGAATAAAGTAACGAACAAACGTTATGATTTTATAGGATCTTGAAAGTTTGCATTCCCGGTATAACGTTGAAGCGCTGTTTTGGAGCTTCTCCCTTGGTATATTTATATTGCGTTTTATGACGCTGGGTACTAAAATTAATAAAAAATATAGAAATCTCTCCGTCTTGATAACCGAGCAGGTAATTAAAGCGACTTTTATTTTTACTTTATTTTCGTTGTAAATAAAACAATTTGACTTTGGGTCTGTTTCAGATTAATTTATATTTACAAATAGAACAAAAACCGCATAAAAAGGAAGAGCTTATGGTAGCGAATAATGTACTCAAATTAGCAGCAGACTTGATAAAGGTATCGTAAAAAATGTATTTTTATTACTGACCGCATTTGCATATGTTTCCACTGAGTGAGATTGGTAATTATTATACGTAATTTACAGGAACTTGAAAGTCCATTTAAAATATCTGGTTTATCTGCTAATCCCTACTTGTATACAATTACAAAAGTGGTATTACTATCTGCACTTTCAGGGGTGCTTTCAGAACTGCTTGGATTCAAGCTTAAGTTACATAAGATAAAAATAAAATAAAAAAGTGATTATTAAATATTTATTTTTCATGTAACTACTCAGTGATTTCAGATAATTAATGAAGATTTTTCAATTTTATTAAAGATTATTAGGGAATTTAATATAACCAATCGATACGCGAAGACTCAAATAAATGTTTCACTTCTTAATAGTTTAGTCTGCAGCTGTTTACGTTATCAAATTGTTAGAGGTTTTATGTTTTACTTAGAAATTCTATGCATTATATAAGTAATTAGTTCGACCAATAAATTATTTTAATTTGTTGCAGAAAGCAATGAGATTTTTCCTTGTAATTATCATTTCGGTAATTTTATATAATTCCATTATTCCTCAATATTAGATTTAGGTTAGATTTTAGAATATTCTATTGAAATGACGGAAGTAAAAGACAGTTTATTTTTCGATAGAAATCATTAATGATACTACATATTACTAATTTACATGCATTACAATATATTGTGCTTTGTAATAATATTTATGTAGACAATTGATGATACTTAACAAACTCTTCAGATGTATATATAGTTACCGATGCTCTGTATATTTAGATTACAATTCTATGTTTTGTTACCATGTACATATTTAATCTCTACACGATGAACGATAATATGTATATACATAGACGTTTATCGCGATAGACTGAGCGTATATACTCGTCGATCGTTTGCAAAGAGTTGAACAGTGATTTGAATAAAGTATGCTAAAAATTCTCTATGTAAATAGTGTATTATAACATAATAAGAATAGTACTTGTGTAGAAATTTATCCAATTACATCTATAGATTATATGGAAATAACTTATAAAT